CCTATACAGGGTTTCTATGAATCGTAACTGACTCAATTGCACTTAAGAATAATATAATGCTTGCCATGTCAGACAGTGATGAGATTGGTAGAAAGACACCAAGAATATAAAAGTTTTGTAATGACTAAAGACTCAGAAAGTTATATAATGGTTACAGAAAGTATATCATAATTGTACCTTGATATACTTTCAAAATAATGTAAAAGCTACTGTAAACATTTGGTAAATGCACTCTGTTATCAGTGATAATTACGTAATAGCAGGAGCCTCTTTAGGAACTGGACTGAAGTAAGGAGTTGGAAGGAACTTATCTATAGTTAGGCTCTCTGTCTCACCTGTGCTAAAATGAAAGTTACATAACCATGGAAGTTTATGTGATATAAAGAATTGCATTGAGATTTATTTTTTTCTTAGTCTAGTTTTCCTTGTAAATCCAAGACATCTGGAAGAGAAAACAGAAGAAAATAAGGCTGCCATTTTCAGTGCTTGATTTCCCCCACCATCATAAACTGTATTAGTATCTCTCTTTATGCAACATCCCCACTCAGATTTGCCATGGGTCTCTTCTAGAATAAATCAGTGTTTTTCTATATTCATCCTGCATAAAGCTCTCTTGATGGCAGTCTTCAAATCCAAAAACTAGTAGATCAGTGCTCATTTTAAAGGTTCTTTGTCTAAAATGCATCTGTTAGAACTGTAGCTAGAATAGAGGCTTCCCAACTTGTCTTTGTATCTGCACTTTACCTCTGTACCCCTATCTATAGTACACACACACACACACACACACACACACTAAGAAATGAAATGGAAACAATGCAGTACCCAAATAGTTTCTAAGGGCACTAATTTACCCACAGACTCCTGTTGTGGCGCTGTAGGATCAGCACTGAACTGTGAACCAGAAGGTTAGCGGTTCAAACCTACCAGTTGTTCCTTGGCAACCCTTTACAGGGTCTCTATGATTCAAAACTGACATGATAGCACTTAACAACAACAACAATGGCAATTTACCCACACAACACTGCAATTTCACTTTTGATGTAATTTCAAAACATTTGTGACAAGCGCACACAATCCCTTATGCCCTGAAGAATATAAATCAAAACGAGAGGCAAAAAGTGTTGCAATCAGTTGATTTTATACCTTTTTGAGACCTTTACTTTTAGGAATTGGATAATGAGATATAAATAACTTTTCTACTCTAAGTTGGGTATTATTACTATTAGGCTACTCTGTCCAAACTTTAAAATATGTCCCACAAAAGTGTTGAATGTCTTCGGACCTTCCAAAGACTTATTTAAAGTTTTACAGAGTTTTCAATTGTTTAGACATTTTTAAACATTTTTAGACA